CAACCAATAGGAGCTGAGCAGAGCATGTGAAACCGCGCGGAAGTAGCTAGTTTCATTAATAAAATCAATTAGGGGCGTAGTTTTTCAAACTAATTTAAGAAAAATAAGTTCATAATTATTATGATAGATATCTGAGGCAAAACCCTTATGATGTCACATTGCAATCTCATATAAAATTCATAGAAATACACCGATATTTTAAAAAAGTCACCGTGACTATTGTCTACCCCCTTTTTGCAGGGTAATTATGCCCATAACAAAAGATTTTAGGAGCGTTCCCATTGTCGGGTTCTCGAATTTTCCATTCATTGGAATATTAGCATCATTGAGTGCAAGTGATTAATACGTTTTCAATGAGGTACATGAGATTTGCAATTTCTAAAATAAAATAGACATTTGACACAACGATGAAGTAGGTATAACAAAAGAACATTATTCTAAAAGTCGGCAATAAAAGACCAGCATCTTTAAACAAAAACAGACTTTATACTTCACACTAAAAGCCTAGTTCCCATTACCAGCAGCAGACAATCACAGCATTCACTTAGAAACCCTTTCCATTAGCAAGGTTACTTAATGTATCTACGGGATGTGCGTGACTCGCGGTTTGCTGATTATAAACACCCTGTAGATGGGGAAATTCTCTTCTTAGCTGTCAGTTCGTAGTGACAGGATGATCGAAGGCTTGCTAATGTAATGCTGAGTGGTGATTCGTGAATGGTGACTGGACAAAACAAGATTTATTTTGTAATTAATCTGGAAGACGTGATTGGTCGTTCGTGATCCCTGATTAAGGTTTGTTGCGGGATAAAATATAATTTGTTTGTGATTTATCTTAGAGATGAGTTGAGTAGTTGATTGAGATTTGAGGCTTCAGATTTGATCTTTGAGCCAGGTAAAAATTAAGTTTATTTTCCAAAGTTATCTATTGGCAAGGTTTCAACACAGATTTTATTTGATACTTAATAGGTCAACCACCATCTCGCCTGATGGGAAGCGATGATGTGACAGATTCTGGAATTATACTAACTTGATGTTTGTGTAGTGTTAGCCCGGAGGTTTAAGACGCCCGCTTCTCATGCATGCATGAGAGTCGAAGTACCAATGTGACTTTTTTTGAGTTATATGTACAAGTTTTTACGATTTGTTATCTACCACGGAAAACCGGTGAAGAAAGAAGAAAAAAATATCGCGAGGAAACCTGGGATTATAATTTCTAATTATAAGTTTGAAATCGCTAACCTGCATTGAGCAAGCATGGTGATTAATGCTCAAACCTTCTTCGTATGAAAAGAGGCTTTTCTTAACAGTGGGTACTTATATGCTGTTGATGATGATGATGATGTTTTTGTTGAGAAGAGTAGTAGCGTACCGTAATAATTTGACAAACTTTGAATTAAGGTCCCATCTCACTGTAACCTCATTTAAAAATATGTGAAGAACATTAGCCGTGAAAACTGATTCTGCTTTAATAACACGTCTTCCAACCTTTTCATCATCATCAACAACCAATAAATGCCCACTGCTGAGCAAAGCCTCTTCTCACACGGAGAAGGTTTCAGCATTAATCACCACGCTTGCACATTGCGGGTTGGCGATCTCAAACTTATAATTAGAAATCATAAGTCCAGGTTTCCTCATGATGTTTTCCTTCACCGTTTGTCAGTGGTGTCTAAATAATCTTAGAAAGTACATATAACTCGGAAAAAGTCACATTGGTACTTGCCGTTAGTGGGTTTCGAACTCGCACCCTCATGCATGAGAAGCGGGCGTCTTAACCTCCGGGCCACCACGACATCTGAACTTTTTCATAACAGCATAATATTCTCAAATTACGATAACAATCAAACCACTTCATATAAAACTTGGGACTATTTTTAGTCTCTTTTTATTTGAATTGTAACTCTCAAGAGCCTGAATAGGAGTCGTTGTAGGAAACTTTTACAATCGTCTGCAGTCTAACAGTGATAGTGACTCTTAAACTGTAAGGGCAATTGTTATTCAACTTCCAGTGGTATAGAACTTCTGTGGTTCAGTTACAATTGCTTATACAGACTAATATATGGGTCGTGGGATGGATTTTTTGTGGGATCTGAATTCGATATTATTGGGTAACCTATGGAGTTTCTTGCTCGTTCTTCTCCATAGGATTCTACACCTTGGAATGAACAATATAACAGGAGCTACTCCTTAGATGCTACATTATATTATTATTATCTATTTATTTAAAGACTGACTTTTATCCCCGAAGGGGTAGGCCCAGATACATTACAGCACTTAATGCCACTGTACAATGTAACACCCACTTTTCACTATTTATGTTATGAGTCCCATGTACCTAATAGGCATTGAGCCTATTGCCTTATACCGGGCACAGTTCCAGACTCCGTGCTACTACTGAGTTTTTTTAAAAAAGAAACAAGTATTACTTTGCCGGACCCGGGAATCGAACCCGAGACTCCTTACCCTGAGATTATAATTATACACAATGTTTCATTCGAGCTAATCATTCCTACAAATCCAAAGTTAACGCACATTTTAAAATGAGATAGAAGTTTGTAGAATAAATCGCCTTCCATTTTAACTTTTTTCATTTCCTCGCATTTGCTGCTGTTTCAGTGGCTTTATTTGCCAAATCCTTGTTTCTGTGTACACCAGTACATACGGACTAAAAAGTTAAATATTATAAATAAGTAGTGTTTTTAATGAAAACCTGTATACATTTTGAAGTAGGATAAATATGGTACTGGGTATTTTTTCTTTTTAAATTGAAGAAAACAGAAATCTATAAGGTATATTTCTGTATTTTGTCACAGTAGTGTTTGTCTAATGGTTGTTGCACATAGAGTTTTTTTTAAACTAAAATCGCGGGTTGCTCACGTAAATATACTGAGATAAGCTCTACTAGTTTCGAACACGGGGTTCTTCCTCATGAGTAGCGTGCGCGGTCGCGGTGACGTCGCGCAGCTCACTCTCGTCGCCGCTGATATTAGTTAATATAGTAAATCTCACGATAGTTATTTTTTTATGATTGTTCCATCTGACAGCTCTATTCTTTGACCACTTTTATAAAACAAATATTGAAAAGCAGACCTAATTACTTGCTTTATTAAGATCGAGATGTACTAAGACATATTTTTTCCAAATGCTATACCATACTCTCTATGACGTTGAATTATCATTAAAACTTACATTGTAGATAAAAAATCATTACATGAAACAATTTTCAACAGCCGTAAAATCATAATAGTGCATCTCTGGCAGCCATATTGGGCATGAAGCCAAAATCTATGAAATCGGCCGTAACGTTTAATAGGTCAAGTATAAAACTGATAAAACATGTCAAACGAGCATGCGAAAATCATTTAAAATTAGGGTACATTCGCCTGTTCGCGTTCACTCTAGGTACTTAAGTTCGCCTGTTCGCGTCCATTTTACGGATTACCATAAATGTAAGATTCTTAAAACGCGAAATGGTGTATAGTATAAAGATGTATAGTATACATCTGTTTAACCCTCAAATACATATTATAATTTCCGTTCGTTAGTCTCGCTAAAACTTACGAACGGCTGAACCGATTTGGCTAATTTCAGTCTTGAATGTTTGTGAAAGTCCAGGGAAGGTTTAAAAGGTGAGATTTTTTTTAAGCAGAATTAATTTTGCCGCGTCAGCTAGTAACTTATAATTATGGTAATAATACCCTTATTTTCGGAAATTTTCGTAACATGGACGTGAACTAGTGGGTGGACGCGAATGGGCAAACGAGAAGCGCAACGTTATACGTCCACTTCAAAGGTGGACAGATGACATAATGAAGATCTCTGACAGGTTGCTGTCGGTTCCAATCGGCAGATCTGAACACACGACAAATAGACATGATAAATATCCCGTTTATATCTTTCAAATACAGTAAGAGGTTTGATATATTATCTTAACCTACCTTTTTTAAGTTAAGTTTAGTAATGGTGCGTCCATATCTGCATGCGAGCGGCACGCGTGCAGCGTGTTCGCCAGATGAAGACGCACCATTATCTGTATTAAAACATGCGCAACTGACAAAAGCATGCTAAGAAACCTTTTAAAGAAAAATCACACCATAACAATGGGAGAAAACATCTTCTGTTACCTTCCTTAATATGTATCTGGGGTAAAATTATCCTAAATAAAATATTAGAAATATAAAAGCAAACATTTTAAAAAGTCTTCCTTATACCTACCTATTTGAGTTTAAAAGCGTAATTATAAAATGTATTTGAGTAGTGTTAAACTTTGTCAGTGTAAAGCGAATAATAAATGTAGTAGAAAAGAAGCGAAAAATAAATAAATAAAAATTATATAATGAAGAAATAATTCCAATTCGTTCAAAATGCGGGGGACGGCTTTCAGAAACGCGTGGCGAGTAACCACACTATTTAAATTACGAACTCATTCTCTGACACGGTTTAACCGTGCAAAAGTTATGTTCGAATTCCATTTAAAGTTTATTTTAAACGAGTTGTAAAACTATAGCTGTGTAACTGGCAATGGATCGCGACAACTCGATTTACTCAATTAATAAATACTGTATCTTTTTTTACACTAGGACTTTTTACTGTATCCATTGTATCACATACACATTGCATTCAATCCAATCCCGGAACAAAAATTTGTGGATAAATCAAAGAGTTGTTCCGTACGGGAATCGGTCCCACAATACGTTGTAATCATCACTCAATCAGTTACTATAGCTCTCGTGCAATTGTAGTGATTCTTTTTTTACTACTATCTATCAGTGGCAATAAAGCTTACTGGCCACCTGATGGTATGCGGACTCCGTGGCATAAGTACACTTGCAATACCAGAGGCATTACAAATGCGTTGCCGATCATGCAGGTTTTATTTAACTTTTTAATCCGCCGTCATTTTCAGGAACCCCTCTCCCCCTAATTAAGCATTCACCCGCAGTTTGAACAGTGCAATGAATAAGGAGAAAGAAGTGCTGTATTAGGCAATCACTCACCAAGGTCTGAGCAGCAGTCTGGTGCTGAAAAACAGGCTCCAGTCAGTTAAGCCAGTCATAGAAGACATCAGAATAAAGCAGGGACAAGAACAGGTTGAAGACAGGAGTCAGCAAGTGAAATTATATTTTGTCTTTGTTTAAACTGCGAGCAGGTTGAAGATGCCTGACCGCTTGGAAATCTGCAATATGTATAGTTTTGCCCGCGACGTGTTTGTAAAATTGTTGACGTGTTTAGAGTTCGACTGTAAGTGTTGTATACCTGTTTGTTGAATGAGATGTTTGAGTCGTGATAGTTGTTAGTGTAGCAACTCAATATTTATAAAAAGTCATGTTATCTTATTGTAACACAAAGGTTCTTCTTCATGAAGTTTTAATATCGAGAGCAAACATTGAACATCATATATCAAAAATATAAAAATGCTTAAGCCTACAACCTCGTTCACCCTCCCAATTATTTGCCTAAGGGCTGATTTTACGATAAATAACTTAGAATATTTGACAATTCTTCTATACTACAAACTGTCAACTGACAATTTTATTATATACTTAAGAATTAACTGACAATTGAAAAATCGACCCTAATGCAGTTATGTACTTAGTTATACGTCAATGTTTTGAAAAACCCTATTAACACACATATCTAACTAAATAAGCAATTAAAGTGGAACCAGACAACCGTAAAAAATTCTTCACAAAAACACAACCAATAGGGTAGATGACTAATTTTTATTTTAATGTCCGTCTGGTAGATTATTTTAAATCAATAGACACGTATTTTTTATTTTCTTACAGAAACGAATACAATATTGATTTGAAATGTCGCGTGACGTCACTTCTATGTACATTTTATAAGTAGAAATGACGTTTTGGCCCCCACTCTTAAACTTTGATTTGTTATATCTAAGTATCATTTTATTATACAGCAAAATTAAAAAATACGTGTCTAATATTTTCATTACCTAACTGACGGACTAACTAATTAGATTTTTAATTTTCATACCCCGTCACCATCCCTATTCTACGAACCAAAGATAAATCTATAAAGACCAGATAGCTATGATTAACTGTTATAAGACTTCATAAACATGGTCTCGTATATGTGATAGCTTATTTATTATTTTCGATCAGAAACTGTCAGGTGCAGCGATGGCTATCGAACTAGCGACCAGCTTGTGGCTTGCTCGTTTGATTTTGTAGAAATACTCGATTGAAACATTCGTGTAACATGTTACATTGGATGTTGAACCGTTTGTGGTTAAGTTAGGATTGTGAGATTGTGGTTTAATTAATATCATACGAATTTGAAGGTGACGTCAAAGTTTATTTCAATTAGACCATATGGCACTTTTGAAAGTCAAACGAAATATTTTTTAGGTTAAAAGTATCTCTGGAATGGATAATAGATTCCTGTTAAATTGTTGGACCCCAAAAGGTCCTACCAACATCATATTACCCTTCATCTTAAGGGGATCTTCTTCTTCTTCACAGTGGCTTTTTACCTTGGGTAAAGTGAGGAGTGTGAGAATCTTACTGACTAAAAACCACCCCGTTCCTAATCCTGCATCGAGCTTCGATAACCCAGTAAGTTGTCCGCAGTGTCGGGTATCATATTACCCCTGGCAGACTGATGATCAATAATTATTACAATACTTATTTTAAAAACCCCACTAAAACCCAAACCAGAGGACTTCCTCTTGAATCCAATCCCTATCGATTGACATTGATATTGTAAAATTCGTACCAACTCTTGAGTAGCAACACTAGCGCCCACTGCACCCGTATTGCGTGGATATTGAATGAACTAAATGGTATTAAGTTCGGCTTTATATTCCGTACTCTGAATGCTATTTTAATAGCTACGATAGGGGTTGTATAGTTTTGACATTGTATAATTCTTTTTTTTTTCTTATAGTGCCACTTCAATGTTGAAGGTCGGCTGTCAGCTTCTTGTATTTCTCCTTGTCGGTAGCCATGCGGAACAATTGTTCGACAGATGTAATGCCGGTCCACTCCCGGATGTTTCGCAGCCACGATTTTCTTCTGCGCCCAGCACGTCTCTTCCCCTCCACTTTGCCCATCATGATCAGTTGAAGCAGTGAATATCTATCGTGTCTAAGCACGTGACCGAGATATTCGATTTTTCGCTTTTTGATGGTCAGCATAATTTTCCGGGTCATTTGGACGCGCTGTAGCACGGATTCGTTGCTGACCCTTTGTGTCCAGCTGATTCGGAGCATACGACGGTAACACCACATCTCGAATGCATTTATACGTCTCGTAGTGTCCTCCTTCACGGTCCATGCTTCACATCCGTACATGACTAGAGGCCAGATGTAGCAGAAGAGTAACCTAACTCTGAGCTTAATGTTTATTTGACGACAACACAGAACTTTCCTCATTTTGTTAAAAGATGCTCGGGCAATTTCTATCCGGGTCTTAATTTCTATATATATAATTATTGAGACTTTATTGGACTGAAATTGCATTGACATTGAGATTGGCTTCAAGAGTAAGCACCCAGGTCAAAACATAAACCAAACACTCCTCCATTTCAGGTCAGACTCATCGGACTCAAAAATGGAGGTCGAGTTCGAACCAAACAGCAAGTTCGTATAAACTCGATATGAGCAAATAGCATCAAGTATTCGGACGATTGTCAACCCGTATCGTGGTCCGTGAGATAAATTGTCCGACCTGGCATGTAGCCAGAGTTACGGCGTGTTTAGAAAAGGGACGAACTTGGTATAGTATGTTCTTTCTATGTTATTTTAGTTGGAATAGCTTGCTGGGTAAAATAATGGTTCGATGGTCAAAATGTACCAATATTGGAAGACGTCTTTCGATTATTCAATGCTTCGTTTTCAAAGTTGTGGATTGAAAATATATCAATTAATCTTCATAACTAGTAACACCCACTTTTCATTCACCGTAATCATGTTATACGTTTGTTACGATTTTCTTTTATAAAGAATAAAATCTTAAAGAACAGTTTAGGGTGACTAACCGAATTTTTTTTAATGAATGAATTACGACAGGACAAACTAACAATTAAGAAAATGTTCACATTTTCAACACTACGTCTTTGAAAACTTTCTTTTGTGAGAATCTATTATTCTTTGGCAACACAGCCAAACAATTATGTTGCCACAATTAAAAAATCATTAAAGAAACATTTTGGCTGTTTTATGAGAAAACGACTTTTGTTCTTGTTCTGTAAATAAAAACAAAATCGCTTTTGTCGTGTTCTTTATTCAAAAGTGATTCTTTTGTACTTTTTTTTGTTGTTGTTCTTTTTAAGGAGTATTTATTTATTTATTTAATTAGTTGCTATCTGATAATAGGTGAGATCACAGACATATTATATTGGTGCCCACGTTTTCTTAGCACTGAGCAAAACGCCATATTGACTACACGCCATTTTTTTCTAATATTGCCCTTCCAACCACTAGGCAGATGAGCCCAAACCTTCAAATTAAGAGCCTAAGTTTTTAATACATTTTTCATTTCTTTTAATGCACTCCGTACTCTCTAAGAGTGCCATTTTTCCTCTTAAGATACTCCAAAAGGCGATCCCTCCCTTCTAATTAGAGGCCCACTTTTCCGAGGTGCGCTCTTTACAAAATTGCATCCTACTTGCGCAGCTGAGTGACTTAAACACGAGTCCTTTTAGCCCTCTGAGGCTCTAAGCCCCCTGTCCTCTGCCATCTGCGGCCAGAGACAATTAAGGGCGAAAACTTTTGACTTTGATGCTTCTGTCATGTGTTGTCTTTGTTATTTTTAAAGAGGTCAAAGTAACTCACTGAGAGACTGCCTCGTTGGCCGAGTGGTCGCAAGTGCGACTGCAAAGGAGTCTTGGGTTCGATTCCCGGATCGGGCAAAATATTACTGGTTTTTTTTTAATCTCAGTAGTAGCACGGAGTCTGGAATTGTGCCCGGTATATGGCAATAGATTCAACCCCGAACACATGGGACTCATAACACAAATAGTGAAAAGTGGGTGTGACATTGTACAGTAGCATTAAGTGCCGTGATGTGCACCTCTGCCTACCTCTTCGGGGATACAAGTCAGTTTTTAAATAAATAGATAATAATAATATAATGTAGCATCAAACAAGTAGATCCTGTTATCTACAGGGTGATATTAATTGTGACCCCTACATGAGGGTCTATATCTGATGCCCGGCTGAGCGCTAGATACGCGGGAATTAATCAGACCGTTACGATAATTACCGCTATGTATACGGGACGAACATAACGTAACATACTATCACGCCTTTTTATCCTCGAAGGGGTAGGCAGAGGTGCACATTACGGCAAACTTTTCAATATTTATGTTATGAGTCCCATGTAATAGGGGGTGAGCCTATTGCCATATACCGGGCATAATTGAAGACTCCGTGCTACTACAGAGATTTTTAAAAACCCAGTAATACTTTGCCCGACCCGGCAGTCGCATTTGCGACCACTCGGCCAACGAAGCAGTCGGGACGGGTATACGGGACGACTGTATTATAAATGTTGTATATAATTTTGATAATGTGTAATTAGGAATAGATATTTTGTAATTAGGTAAGAGTAATCAATTCGTTTCCTATCTATATACATATAAAAATTATAGATACCCGTTTCCCGTTGTCACGCCATAACTTGAGAACGGCTAGAGATTTTTTTTTTTGATGTGTTTGTTATCGTCAGGAGAAGGTTCTTATGACAAAAAAAATCTCAAAATATTCTCAAAATTAAAAAAAAAACAGTAATACTTTGCCCGACCCGCAAATCGAACCCCTTACCCGGCAGTTGCAATTACGACCACTCGGCCAACGAGGCATTAAACTGTCAAACACCAAGCGGTCACCGGTGACCGCAACCTATTGTTCTATAATTGTGTCTACAAAACCGGTACTCGACGAGTTAAACCACTATCAATAAATAACCCGAATTTGACACACACTGTTCAAAATGACCCAGAATTATGACATCAGCATTACCTTTGGAAACTATTAGCACCTTATCGGAACCAGCCA